TTCTAACATTGTTTTTTTATGTAAAAGTGTGACGTCACACCATCTGAATTCCCCCCCCCCCCCCATCACACACTGTCATAAAACTACGGATCCCCCCTCCCCCCCTTCGAGAGTGACGTCATTTATGGACGACCCATATATGCTGTGATTTTTGTTTTTACAGCAACATGAAAATGAAATATGACACGTAAACGCGGTTGACTTAAAACGATGTCAAGAGTTTTGAAATTGTTCATTTTCTGTTCGAGTGGCACTGCTCGTAATTATCATTAGCAGTTGCGTCATTAGGTTGAGTGTTATCCGGTACGGTAACTAAGAATACCACGCCACACCCTCCAACAATTTTGAAATAATTTTTTTTTTGGTTGGATGTCACCCTCTCCCACTACTTTTTTTATAACAAGATAAAACACTCTTGACAGTAAACTTTATGATTTTTCCTATTTGGTGTCACCCCTCCCCCTAAATGGTGTCACCCTCCACCCCCGTGTGAAGCTATCGATCATTGGTATTGTGACTTAGGTTGGGCTATTGTTTGATAGCGCTTAGGGCTAGGCTAGATGTTAAACTTCAATAACACATTGTACATCTAGATAAGTGGTTCTAAACTTTTTTTTGGTGGTACCGAACCCCACCACTCTCATATGCACATTCACCGAACCCTTCTTAATGGTTATATCGTCCGCACGGACAAAATCCGATTGTGAATATGAGTCAGATGTGTGCCTGCCTTGATCTCCGCCGAACCCCTGAGCAGTGTATCTTCCAGGCATCTCTTCCGGGGGGGGGGGGGGGGGTCTCTGCCCCCACCCGAACGAAATGGAATTTATATAGAAAATATATACTTTTTACAGTGTCCAACCCCCCCCCCTCCCCGGAAGTTTTAGTCCGACCCCCCTCCCACGAAAATTTCAAGTGCCCCCCCCCCCCCCCCAGGAGAAAAAACTCTTGAAGAAAAACTGCCCCTGAGACTGACTCGCCTAATCCCTTGGGTTCGATCGACACCAAGTTAAGAACCACTGATCTAGATGTATATCATAACTATACTGATAACACTCAACTCGTAGATTGTAAAAATAAATGCTATCTTTGCAGTGATGGGAGGGGAGGGGAGGGAGAATCAAAATTGTAAACAAAAAATCTCCTCCTAAATTAGACCAATCGAGTTCAAGATGTGTTAACCGGAAGGACATTGTTTAAGTATTTTTGGATGAATTGATTTCGCTGACAAGTCTTATTTACACTGTTCTTATCCTACCTAACTCACCTCCCCTCCACCCATTATCCGTCACCCATAAAGGTGACTCACTCAGAAAAAAAAACAACCCCGCACAAAGTCTTCTGATGATGAGTCATCAATCTAAACCAATGGGTCTCAAACTTTTGTTTTCTTATTGCACTCGCGTTAACGAATGTGGAGGTCATACTATGTGGCGGTCTGACGACACAGTAGTAAAAGTTGTAGCGGCCTCACGACACGACACTGTAGTAAAAGACACTTAACTACCCCCCCCCACACACACATGTTTAACCCCATCATATACCCCATGAATGGACGGCTTGGCCTAGCGGTAGAACGTTAGACTGCTAATCAGAAAGTCACGAGTTCGAAACCGAATTGAAGTCAGTAGAACGTCCCTGAGTCCACACAGCTCCGATGGATACCTAACTCACGTTTGGAAATTAAAGGCGGCTGGGCATAGTTTTAAGCACACCATCCTTTCTTATACCGAAGTCAAGAAACATCTACCCAAAGAGGAATCTTGACTTTATGTACCCCATCAGAGTTTCTTCCAGGCATCTCTTTTCCCGAGAAAAAATTCTACCACCCCCCCCCCCCCGAACGAAATGAAATTTATATAATTTATATAGAAAATATATACTTTTAACAGTGTCCGCCCCCCCCCCCCCCCCGAAGAAAGTCTACCGCCCCCCTCCCCCCGAAAATTTCAAGTGCCCCCCCCCCCCGGAGAAAAAAGTCTGGAAGAAACACCGTACCCCATGAGGTCAGTAAGTAACAACATGAGAACCGTTGATCTTATAACCAGTACGTAAGTCCCGAACAAGACTTATCTCCAAGGTCTGTGTCTCTATCCAGATCTCTATACAGATCAAGATAAATTTAAATCTATTTTTAAACAGCACATGCTTTTAAAGGCCGAACAGCTGTTCTTATACAGGAGTTACGTTTTAATCATTGAAGTTTTTTTTTTTTTTAATTTATTCAAAGACTCCAAGCAGCATCTGGTTTATATTTAACACAGTGATCTATCAACATTTTATTTTATTTGTATAATAAAAAATTCTGTATGCATTTTTTTTCTGGTCTTTGATTTTAGCCTGTGGTGTTATCTCTGAGCCGGCTCAGTCATGGCGTGTACCCAACACTAAAATGGAAGATGAAGCGGCTTTGTACTCCACTTCGTGTACCACGTCATTAGAAAAAAAACAGACGAGCTCTTGTTTCCATTTCTCATCTGCCGAATACAGCTTGTGAAGAATTCACTTTCACTGGAGAAAAAAAAAACATTCACTGTTATTCGATATTGTTACGCACATCACAGATGTAAAATTTAAAAAAAAAAAATCCTTTTTAGACCTAGCGATCCTTTGGGCAGATATAGTCGAGTTCAGACGTTTCTTGACCTCGGCATATGAATGGATGATGTGTTAGCCATTATGCCCAGCCTCCTTTACATTCCCTAACATGAGTCAGGTGCCCATCAGAGCTGGGTGGACTTAAGGACGTCCTACAGTCACAGATCCGAACTCGAGACCCTCAGGCTAACAGCCAAACGCTCTACCACTCGATCACTCCCACCTCATCATAGACGAATGGCCAGTAAATAGAAGCCCTACAAGTAATTGTACATTGTGTACAGCAAAACATACGTTTAAAGACAAAGAATTTTTAAATTGGGGGTCACACAAAGGGCGGGAGTGGGTTCAAATGTTGTGACGATGTGTGACAAAAGGGAAGGGGAGGGGGGGGGAGGTCAGAAAGTTTGACTTTGCAGTTTTAAAAAGTAATGTAAGAAACAGAATTTTAGCTGTTTTTTCGCCATATTTTAAGACAACTTTTAAAACTGTAGTAGAGATTGATTTATATGCTCATACGAGGGAGTCTGTAGGCTGATGTGTGACATCTTCATTTTACCTTTTTGCAGAGGCGTAGCGACCCTTCCCGGCGCCCGGGGACAAACTTTCAATTTGCACCCCCCCCCCCTCAAACTTTCGATTTGCACCCCCCCCCCTCAAACTTTCGATTTGCACCCCCCTTCAAACTTTCGATTACTTTTTCCAACCCATTTTGGCGATCCCTAAGGTCGGCGCCCGGGGACATGTGTCCCCCCCCCCCTGCCGCCACCCCCCCATCGCTACGCCTCTGCCTTTTTGTAACAATGTACGACGAAGGGGAGGGGTGGGTGAAAATCGTCAAAATAGTGTGTAATTATGTATGGTTCCCCCTCCCCCCTGTAGCCTGGAGCCTTAACACTACCGAGGGGGCGTGACTACAGCCCTTATCTTTTTACCTCCACCCCCACCTGCTTAATAATTAAGTTAATTTATAGGCTGTGCTTTGATTTATTTTCAAGATTCATAACAAAATTTTGGCTATGTTCATTCTAAGTATTTGCCCTTGACATTTTGCCTTGAACAAACAATAGCATTCTTTACAAATGCGAAAATAGTGCAGTTATTTCCCCTTCCCCTCGGCTACTCATTGCTAACAAATGCAAGCCAATTAAGTAAGCATGATGTCATAATGTCATAATTGGGGGGACCTAGAACTCTCACCACCCCAATATATATATATATATATATATATATATATATATATATATATATATATATATATATATATATATATATATATATATATATATATATATATTGCTGAAAAAATTTGACCCCCCCCCCTCCATGAGACGATCCTGGCTACTCCACTGATTTACGACTTATTAAGACTGTATGTCTACTAACATTAAGTATTGCCATCTAAAACGGCTACTGATGTATTGTTTTTCAACTTGATTATGCTAAAAAAAAAACCTACCGAACTCATTTGTTTAGAACCTAAGCTCTAGATCTATATAATTTTTACAATAGCAAATAATAACTTAATGTTGTATTTATATGTAAGCGGTCAACCGAAGGTGTAAAGTTAAGCAACGAATTATTTCCCATTTGAAAATCCAAATACAAAAATTTTATTCAAGGGAAATAACTTTCACAAGAATATCTAAATTAACCAAGTGTAACTAAGACATGCTTGAAAAACACAGTAAAACGCTCTAAATTTCATTACATAACAATTATAACCATTCTTTTTATTAGCTATGTAGCCTTATGAAAATAATATATTTTACTTATTGAATACTTAACTGTAGGTTTTGTTTGAAAGTCTAAAAATGGTAGCTTTATTATAACATACTTCTATTCAATTTCGATGACATACATGTTACTAGATTGAAATGTATATGTTAGGTTTTGGAGCCCCTAAATTAAGGGACGTCTTTCAAAAATATCAAACACGGTTAACTGTATTAGACTTAAGTTAGACACATCTAAAATTATTGTTTAAATATAAAAAAATGATAATTTGAAAAAATAAAGTTTACTGTTATAAATTTCATCCTTTTTACTTTCTCGTATATACGAAGTATAGAGAAAGTCTTGTAATCGTGTAGCAACAAAAAAATCGAGATTTTTACAAATCTCGACGTTTTACAGCTCCCTGAGTCGGAAAATCATAGTTTTGCAATCTTGTCCGTATGTCTGTGTGTGTGTGTGTGTATGTGTCTGTGTGTCTGTAAACACGATAACTTGAGTACAGTTACAGCTAGGTTGATGAAATGTTATATATAAGTATATCAAAATCATAGATCCGTATCAACTTTTGAGTGATTTCCGATAACCGGAAGGTTAACTTTTTCTACTTTCAATTTTTCAAAAGCCTGTAACTTGAGTACTATTTCAGATAGATTCATGAAGTTTCACATGTAAGTAAAAGATCTGATTCTCTACCTTCTGTTAAATTTTGAGTAATTTCCGTTAAATAGGAGTAGTAATTTTCGTTATTTCCGATTTCTCAAAAAACGCATGTGAATTTATAAAGTACTAATAATATTCCGCACTATTATGCACATATTATTTGGCGTTCACTTGGTGTGCATTTCTTTTTTCTACGAGATTTCATTCTATTTTAAAAGTTTAAGTATTTAGAATGGATTAAAAATCATGTCTATATCCCGAGTTGCTATCCCCTGTTGTTTCATATAAGAATATTCGAGAAAGTTTAGGGGAAATCACTCCCGGTTTATTAATATTATACATTAATACTTTAAGAGTGGTAGTAGAGATTCCTAAAAAAACTCAAGATTTTTCAACTAAAGAACGCCTACCTTTCTTTGTAGTGTGTTCCGTACTGAATTGAAATCTTCTAACTTACGATGAACTCGACTACTCGATATCAGTAGCGTAGCGAGGGGGGGGGGGGGGACATATGTCCCCGGGCGCCGACCTTAGGGGGCGCCAAAATGGGTTGGAAAAATAAATTGAAAGGTTGAGGGGGGGTGCAAATCGAAAGTTTGAGGGTGGGGGATGCAAATCGAAAGTTTGAGGGGGGGGGGGGGGGTGCAAATCGAAAGTTTGAGGGGGGGGGGGGGGTGCAAGTGTCTTTATTGTTATTTAATTCCCTTTCATCTAGTTTCGTCCACCTGACATGGTAGGATTGTCTCATGTTTGGCAAGCTCATCTACGTTGTCTATCGAAACATTTCTTTAATCTTCACATACTATATTAGTAATCTTAGTTTTAAAATGTTTAGTGTAATATGACAAATTTATGCTGCAATCATTTCTTAAAATTATTATATAGGCCAATAAACTATATTAAATATGGTAAACAAAATGACAGTCAATAAAAATGTTCAGATCAACTAAAATCATCCAATGCACTATTACAATTTTGCTGTGAGATATTTTGTCTGAGATATTTTGTCTGAGATCATTTGTCCATGATATCATTTGTCCTGATATATTTTGTCCTGGTATCTTTTGTCCTTGAGATCAATTGTCCTTGAGATCAGTTGTCCTGAGATCATTTGTCCGTGAGATATTTTGTCTGAGATATTTTGTTTGAGATCATTTGTCCAGAGATCATTTGTCATGGAACCATAAATATATATATATAAATATATATATATATATATATATATATATATATATATATATATATATATATATATATATATGTATATATATATATTGTTAATGGTGCTAACAAATTTCCTCACTATAATTTACATACAGCAACGATTAGCCTAATTAATATTTAATAATAATACAACTTGTAATAATAATAAATTAAAACTGGATGCAATAAACAAAGTTCGGAGACCCAGATTTGGCAGCTATCAACAACACACTCACAACCACAATAGACTTAAATGCGCATTAGTGGCCCGTCAAAACAAGATAAGATTAATAATGCTGTAATTGACATTCGACAAAATGGCTTGTCATCGAGATGTTAATTAATGATAGATAATTAGATTAGTCAACAGCTGTGGTTAAATATGAAACGGGGTTAAAATATTATTTATAGGCTGTAGGGCTGGTTTTATTTGATTCATATCTTTGTTGTAGTTTTTGATTGCCTTGAACATTTTAATGCTTAAATGTTTTTAATTATTACCAGCTCGAAAGACTCGAGGTTAGATGTTGTCTTGTTCAAAGTTTTCACAGCTTTAAGGGGTACCAGAATTCAATTGGCGAAATTAAAGATAGCTAGTGGTCGGTTGGTAAAGCTCATTCATGGTTGCTTAGCAGAATTGTCTCCAGTTCGAACCTCCGGGCAGATGAGGCTCGATAGCTAGAGATAGCAACTCTACTAGGAGAGGAAACTTGAAAATCAAACAACAGCTGCCGTGTAGTTTGTTCTTTTTTGGAAAAAGGCTATGGAAGCAAATCCAAAAAGAAAAGCAGGCTGAAATCGTAGTCAACGTCCTATATGGCGCATCACAGGTTGACACTTATCCTTAATTGTGTTGGAGGGAATCACGTCAAACATTACAGTTGAGAACGAAAAAGAAAAGACGACTGGGTATAGATCTAGCTCTAAACCACAAAGTCTTGGGCCCTGAATAAAAGTTTTCGTTAAATCCTTATCGTCTACTTTGTTTTTAACTAACCTAATTAATTAATTTGGTTTCTGACAATCTGCTCTGTGCAGTGTAGACTTGTGAGTTTGTTTTAGGAGGGACCATTTGTCGGGAGCCATAAAGATGGGAGGGACCACGTCAGTGGCGGAACTAGAAAAAATGGGCCACCCCGCAAAAAATTTTTTTGGGCCCCCCATATATATATATATATATATATATATATATATATATATATATATATATATATATATATATATATATATATATATATATATATATATATATATATATATATATATATATATATATATATATATATATATATATAAAACAAGGTTCGCTCTCAATTTAAAACAAGTTAATTAAAAAAGTCTAGTGACATTTGTGCGCAATTTCCTTATGTTATCTAAAAATAGCTCTGACGTATAATGTTGGGGTGCGTTCAAGCTAGAAGAACAATCGGTTTGTAGGTGTTTATGTAATTTTAAAATTTGTGACCGAACGAGAGAATATTTTTGAAAACTTTCTTCGGCAATATTAGTCTAAATTATGACAGGAATCGATTGGTACATGTTTCAAGTCGCTAAGTGGTCTGGTTGCCGAGATATGGGCCAAAAACTGCTTTTTTTTCGAGATTTTTTGGCTTTTCTGGGAAATCCATGAAAGAAACCCGGAATTTTTATGGCCTATGTTCATCCTCGTAACTTGCTTAACATAATTGCTTTTGGAACTAGTCATCGATATTGCTTCGTTGAGGAGGAGATACGACTTAAAGCTGCGGACACACATTCATCCATCCATCCATCCATCCATCCAGAAATGACGGGTTAATAAACGCAATTCTCCAGAATGGAAATTGCGCTAAAAAATTCCATCTGGTACACGAATAAATCAGAGGTTTTTCAACACACGAGCTGGCCCCTTTCTAAATCTAGTCCAACACACCAAACTGAGGCTTTCATCAAAACGTTACTAACCGTGTGCCCTGTTTTCCAGAAGTTGAATTAAATGTTAACAATGTCGGCAGTTCATTTCTTGGATCTTAGGACGCGGGTTTGTCCACACTACCAACTAGACACGCCAAGGCATGCTGTAAATCCCTCTGCGACGGCCCAGGTGTCAGGGGAGTCACGGGGCTCTTGGAGCTACCGGTTACATTACTGCACGGGTGATGGGTGTGACACATTGTTTCTTCCGGCAGAGCTCCCCCCCTCCCCTCCCCCGAAAACAGTCTACCCTGGAAGAAACATTGGTGCGACACCTAATTAGATTTAGTCATCGAGTGTTGTAGCGAGACTTATTCCTAGTTTTGTGGGAACTTTTAAACGACTGTCTGTGGGGGCCAACTTGCTCATATGTGATGCGCTCAGGATGACACTGACGCCGGTTGTATTCAAGTAGTAACCTCATCCACTTATGCAGTATCACGGGGCGCTAAATCACATATTTCCGTTAGGAGTCCCCACTCAAATATGTACAAATGTTAGGCCTATGACAGAAACCTTTGCGGGGCTGTACTCAACAGCTTCCCAAGTTTTCATGGCGATTGGGTGAATGATGCAGTAATGCATAATAATATTAGAGAGAAAAATGTTTTTCACATGTACAACTGTATGTGGCCAGGTCACGCGTTGGATAACCTTCTGATTTAGGGGAGGGGGGGGGGGATTAACAAAAAGCCAGACCCTCACACACCCCCACCTCAATGACTATTAATAATGTTCAATTAATTCTAAACGTTCTAATTAATTTCTAAATAATTATATAAAAAATAATCTTACCTGCCCTGTTTTGTGAATTAGATGTGCCTAATACTATGAAAGTAAATTAATATGTGTTGACTAGATCTAGTGTCTGACAAAATGTGCTGAAGTGGTGAATCGTACGGTTAGGAAGTAGTTCATAAACGATACATTTATCTCCTCGATACTTGTGAGGTTGAGAAAGAGGGATGGGATAGGGGTCGGCTCGGGAAAAAACTTGAAAGGGACAACAAAACGCCTTGATCTATTTACGTCAGCATCGCCCATTGTAAAACTTACTCAGGGGAGATAATTTGAAGTATAGGCCTTAAAAGTTTACTATATTTCTTGTAAAATCAAAAACAAGTAAACGTATATAAAACTGAAGTTTCTAGTATTATATTTTTTTTTTAATTATTTGTACGATACAAGATAGTACAGGATACAAATTCAACCACTATCACAAACACATATTAACATTGAAAAATGTACAATGGATTTCGGGTCCCCTACCAATGCCGCAAATATGAACCGCGCATCATGAAAGTATTGAAAGCCCACTTCATATAGCTTTTCGTGCTATGGACTTTGTTGTTTTTTTAAAAAGAATTTTGCCGGCGACAGCGTGTGTTTGATTGTAGGGAAATAGAACTCGGCCTTGACGATGGTTAAAAAATACAACTATAAATAACTGTTTTAAATATGTAAAGAATTTGTCGACAATTTTTTAACCCCCTTTTGGTCCCCATCCCCTGCCCCATCCGCCACAGTATACTTTGGAGGATCGGTCAAACAGTTACGTGTCCTCTATTTAGCTATCAAAGGGAGGGGGGGGGGGGGGCAACGAGTCAAAGAAGTCATTCAAAATTTGAAGAGTTGCCTATATTTTACCCTGTAGTTTGTGTAATGGATTTTATCTTTTGCGGAAGAGCGTGGTATAGTGACTGTAAAATAAAGATAATCGTACCGCAGCTACAGTGTTTTTCTTTTACAAACCAAATATTATGGCAAAAATTAAATTCAAAATTTAAAAAAAAAAAAATTGGTCAGCCGTGGGCCCCTAAACGGCCTTCCCCCCCCCCGCGCATTGCGGGGTCTGGCGGGACTGTAGTTCCGCCCCTGTTCATCAGGTAAATGAACAACTACTGACTAGTGTCTTTAACAAAATGTGCAGAAGTGGTCAGTTTACAGTTCATAGACGGTTCGTTAATCTATGCATTACATCTTATTGTAAGAGTAAGGGTGTGGTGAGGGGTAGAAGTGAGGGGTAGGGGGGAGGGGGGGGAGAGAGTTGGGAAGGGAAGGGGACAAGAAAGCGCCGATAAACATCTACATCAATAGTGCCGACTTTTTCCGATCGTCTAGAAGACCAGGATAGTCGCCTCGCCGCAACATTTCCCCAGCCCGATTTCAAAGCGTACCGGCACAGTCAAATTTCAGATGCTTCGTCTTTGAAGTTGTCTATATGTCTGGCGGTCTCTCGAGCTATAGTCAGTGCATTTTTCTCAAAGACGTTTGCCGACTATCGTGTTTGTTTGTAACTGTAGAAGAAAGATAACTCGACCGCCACCTAATTTATTTTTATTTTATTTTAAATAATTTAGCCAGGATTTTTGGGCCCCCAATTGGTCTGGGCCCCCCCGCATTGCGGGGTCTGGCGGCACTGTAGTTCCGCCCCTGGACCACGTAATAACGTGATACACGTGACCATCTTCAATAAAAGAGTCCCAGGGTTTAATACAAACTCAGACCCAAAGAAGGTCAATCAGTGGCGTCACTAGGGTGTGTGACACCCGGTAAGGTAAACACAATGTGTCACCTTCTATGGTGTGAAACTGTGCCTAATGTATGACGCATACAATTTTATAAGTCATTTAGTCTAACTAGAAAACCCCGACTTTTTCATTAAACTAGGTATATTTTGTTTTGGTGTCACCCGGTGCGTTCCGTAACTAAAGTTCCCTTTCAAACCTAACGGTCTAGGGGGCAAGTGAAGTAGAGTTCACTTGTTTGTGTGAAGGGATACTGTGGTCAGCACTATGCCCAGCCGTCTTTACTTACCCTAACGTCCACCCGTCAAAGTTGGGTGGACTCTGGGACGGCCTACGAAACTTACGGGCTAGCAGTCCAGCTCTCTACCGCTAGGCCACTCCGTCCCTAACTAGGTATATTTTTTGTGTGTCACCCTCTTGGATTGTGCCATCCGGTGCGATGCATGCCCGCAGTCATTACCACATTTTAACAAACGGCAATAGAACTACAATGAACAGTTAACACAGCCTATATTTCGTAAGACCTAGGCCTATGTGCCGCTCTCTATTGGAATGTACCCATCAATGGTGCTCTATACATTTCCAAGAACAAGACGTCATTTCTACGAACTAAATACAGTAAAGCGAAAAACGTTGAAATATCCAGACGGAATTACCCGAACTGGTGTTGTGAAATAACCACGGCCGCGTGATGTCAATGTCTTATTGTTTAATATAAATACGTATAATACACCTGTGCTCCGCCATCTGGATCATTGACCTAATATAGATAAAACTATCTTTATTGTCGTAAACCAACTCAAGCAAGGATTATGGTCGTCTGAAGTGGTTATATACATAGGCATCCCCCCCCCCCCCCAGCCCGCCCCCATTGTCGTAAGCCAACTCAAGCAAGGATTAAGGAGGTCTGAAGGCACCCCCTCACCCCTCCACCCCACCCGCCACCGCACACATACCTCACTATTCCTGCCAACACCCCTTTGCCTCCCCCACCCACATACACAAATACAACAAAACAGTTCACACTTTAACACAACACAACTTGAAAATATTTTGATAAAAATCAATTTTATTTTTAGCTCAATTGTGAGATTATCAACTAATTAAGTCAACAGAAATAAAGAATAAATCTAATCCATCTACCTGGTCTCGAGTTCGGATCCCAGACGCCCCTGAGTCCACCTAGCTCTGATGGGTATCTGACTCACGTAAGGGAAAGTAAAGACGAATGTGCATAATGCTGACCTTAATATGCCGAAGCGACTGAAACTCTATTTCATGAGCCCGAACTGCTGAAAGCATAAAAGAACACACGAATCTTGCCATAAACGAGTCTTACAGCAAACGAGTCCCTAATAGAAGAAAACACGAAAAGCACATATATCGTGGCATATCCCATGAGTGAAAATAC